CTCGCCGGAGAAGTGAATGCCACAGCCCAGACGCCGAGGCGCTGAGGCCCGTTAGCAGCCGCCCCCCCCCTTCTCTCTCTTTCTCCCACACACACGCCTATGGTGATAGCTTCGTGATGAGAAATCATTAATTAATCATGCCAGTGTAGTTGACACGGGGCGCCATGCGTCAGAGCGACGTGTGTAGCTGTCATGAGCTACTCACTTCTTGCAGCTATACCAGGAGGCTGATTAACCCCGTTCACTTCTGTAAGTTATGCTGTACCGCACGCACGAGTGCGGGTGGGTTGCCTACTCGCTCTGCTTGTAAGGCGCCGTGGATAGGGGCAGCGGGTCCGAGGGATTTTCGAGTGCGTCTTTGCTCCACCAAAGAGGGCTGCAGCGCGGCGGTCGCGACCAAGTCAACAAGACCTTGCTGCACGGTCCATGCAGCTGCTCGTCCCCCGTGCCCGTCCGTCTGCCGCACGGGTTCGATCTGTTTGACCCGCGCGCCCGCCGGGGCCACTTGGTGCCGAGGGGCGCATCATTTATCAAGCCAACAAATAGGGCCCAGCAGGAGCCGGGGAAACGCCGGCATCATCCTCGTGCTGGGCCGGCGGCAGGGGCAAGGGAGCACCGAGGGAGAATGTGCGATCGGAAGGGGCGGTTTGTTGGAATAAATGAATGGCAAGCCGATAACAGCGTCACACCCTCCACTCACTATACGCCCCCGCACGGTGGGAGGGGCGGGGCGAGGCGCCGCACGCAGTAGCAGAGGCACCGGGAGATGAGGGGAGGTGGGGAGGGGGGGGGGAGAGACAATGCGGCGAAAGGAACATCGAACCCGACACCTCTAACGCCCTGCCTCTTTATGAAAGAAATGGGCTGCTGATATCGGGTGTCGAGGGAACAGCGGAACACGCACTAATCCTGAGGGTGCCATTCCTCGCCGCGACACCCACAACAACAACACTCAACACTCGCCACGCCGCCACCTCGCCCTCCACCCTCGGCCCTCGCCACGCCCCGGGCACAGCAGCAGGTGCTGCTGCAGTGGGGCCTCCAGCAGGACGGCCGGGCCTCGCTGTGGGCGCGGAGTACGTCCTGTGGTCGAGGGGGTCGAGCAGGGCCACCCCCAGCAGCTGTTCCAGAGACTGGGAGGCCATAGGCCATGGCCTCGCGCCTGCCCTAAAGCGCCCCGCAGAGTGGAGACGGCCCCGTCTTCGTGACACCCTTTCTCGCACCGGAGGTCTCCACCTCCCATCGGCTTGGTAATCTCAAAATCCGCTTTTGTTTACGTCTCCCCCTTCCCCCTTTTCCCCCCTATCGCTCACATATTCTCTTCTCCTCCCCTGACGCGGGTGGTGCTCGCGTGCGACGTCTCTCTCTCTGCTATGACGACGCGTGTATATAAATCTCTTGCGGCTGCGTCGTCCTTTTTATTCTGATTATGATTCGTCTTCTCCGCCTCCTGACACACATCTGCACCTCTCTGGCCGCCCCGGCCCGGCGTGACGACTCTATACCGCTGCACCGCGGCCGCTGCTGCTATCTGCCGGCGAAACGCGGTGAATCTCGCGCCTTCTGCCACGCATCGGATGCTCCTCAACTCCCCCTCCAATTCTCCTCCCCCTTCCTCCCCCTCC